TTTTGTAAATGAGGACACAGATACTGGGTTTGACCTGTGGGTGCTCCAATCTTTATCAGATGTGTGAGTTAATTTGAGTGTGACAGCAACCATTTCTAGCCCAGTTCTGTCAAATTTTCAGCATGCAGACAAGAAGCTTTATTGTCCAGCTTTTAATTTTCTGCTGGTTTCTTGGGCACATTTGTAGTGAACTGATGAGGGAGCACTTTCAGGGCACTGAGGGACACATCTCTGCCAGACAAGTGGTAGAAAACAGACTTCCTACAATTACATTTGTAGGGCTGATGTGGGGAGAGAGCAGGTAGCTGTTTAGTTTCTTTGGGATTCAGTTTTCCCAGGCCTGACATACAGATAAAAGTTATTGATCTGCATCAGCTGTGTTTAATTGAATGTCTGTAAAGGAGATTAAACCGATACAGAACTGCTGTGTCCTGCAGAGTCATATACTGGTGGCTTTAGAAATAGACAGACCTGTAGATGTGATGGGTGAGAAGGACACTACAAAGAGCCAGGGATGCCTCAAATCCTGCCAGTTGCTGGTGCTTTTTCAGGATGAGTACCTGAACACTGGTAAGATGCAGGTGGTGAAAACTCAGAGAGACAGGAGGTACCGAAAATGACACCCCTGCAGGTGTCAGGTCAGGGCACTCCAGGCACCCAACTGCAGCATCCATGTTTGAATGGGTAGATGTTTTGGACATTATGAGGAATTTCTTCACAGACAGGATGTCACTGGAAAGGACTGCCCAGGGTGGAGTCACCATTCCTGGAGGTGTTTAAGGAAACACTAGATGTGGCACTTAGTGCCATGATCTAGTTGGCATGGTGGTGTTCAGTCAAAGGTTAGATTTGATGATCTCAGGGGTCTTTTCCAACCTAATTGACTCTGTGATTCTATGTTTCATATAGGGCTGGTGCTAAGCCTTCAACTACAAGTTAACCCTGAGAAGCTCTGTTGCCTTCAAGGGAGATGTGATTGTTTCAAACAATTGAAGGTCTATCCTACAGGTCCTGAAGTGCTTTCTAAGAAAATCCAGTAGAAAACCCTACATTCAAAGCAGGGTTTGTTGGGGAGGAGTGTGTGTACTGTTTGTTTTGGTTTATGAGCAAATGGAGGAAAGCTAAATCAGATTGATATAGCTGCCACCTGAAATATCTCCTGTACACAATTTAATTTACTCTGGTCCAGATGCTATTGTATATATGTATAAACACAACAGGGACCTATTAGCCTTTCTCTTAGTAGTGAGGCTGTGCCTTCGTATAATTGTGGTTATATCACATTAGACAGGCTTGATGAGAGATGCTAAAAATAATAAATCTCACACCTGAGAGAAGTACATAATTGTGAAGAGTTTTCCAAACATATGGTACTGGTTCAATTTTTTTTCCAGACATAAGCTTACTATGTCCAGTATTATGGACTGCCTCTGAGAGTAGTGTTAATGATTTCTGCCACACTATTTTTACTTCGGTTTCAAACCAATCAATACAGCTGTAAGTTCTGTAAGGTCATATTGTATTGTTACTTTAAAAAGCATGAAAACAATCACATTGTGCTTGAGGGGTAGGAGCACACATGACATTCCAAACTCAACAAGCTAAATGTCTTCTGTGTCATCAACATATATTGTTTCCGGGAAATAAAAGTTGTCTCCAAGTAAAAATCACTGGTTGTTCTTAGAGGGTTTGGGGGGAAAAAAACCCACAGGAGGACAGCTGAAATGGGGGATCATACTCTATCAATCCTGTTTTGCAATGCTATTAAATGTTTTCTTTTACTAAGACATTGTTTTTTAATTTCCCTTCACAGAGGGAATTATAGTTAAGCCCCTAAAGAAAGACTACAGTTTACCTATTGACATGGCAGTAATGGTCCAGGAAAGGGACAGGCTTTCCTCTGAAATGCCCCTCTGCCTCATTGGAGTAAGGGTAAATACCTGTGCAATTGTATTACTGTGACTGTGCCTTCTCTCACAGTGCCTTTTCGAAATATACATCACCACACCTAGGACAGTGTGCTCAGCGTCTTTTGTGTCTTATGGACACAACCCTACAGAAGACAAGAGCCTCACCATAAGTCCTCTAGCACAGGACATTATTCTTCTTTTATTCAATAGTGACTCTGTGAAAAACTAAGAGTTGTGAAATGAAGTTCAGTGATGAAGCAGATCTGGCACTGACCGGAGAGAAAATCCAAGTGTCTTTCTTCCTGTTTCATAGATTTAATACATGCATTAATACATGTGTTTAATGCCAAATTGATTGCTTGGTAACACTGTAAATAAGAACGGATGAAGACTGCTTTAATCTATGTTTTCCCCTCCTGAGGTCTCAGCAGCTGCTGCCAAAGAGGTCTCCTCTATATCTGCACTCCCGGGGGTGCACCCACCGCTGCAGTTGTCCCTAGACAAAGCTCTCTGAGCACAGTCCCAGCATCTGCCTCATGCCTACATGTGGTACCTCTTTAGTGAACTCACGTTGGTCTCTGCCTCCCAGGATCTGACCTCAAGTAGTTCTTGAACTGGAGAAGTGGGGAGGAGGTGAAACAAGGGAAAAGACATGAGAGGGAAGAATGTTAAATGCTCCAGTGTACCAAAATAGGGATTTTTTGCCAGCGCGGGGAAATCCAGAAGAAGCAAAGGATCTCAGGGATTGTTTCTCACTCCCTTTAGTACTCCTTTTTTCTGCCTTTGGGTAAAGGCCAGCCATGCTCAGTGTATCTATTCACAAAACAGCTAATCTACTAATTGCCCATCTAAAACACAAAAAAGTGCATAAACAAAAATACTTCAAGAAATTGATGTCAGTACAATTTGCCTAATCTTTTTCTCAATTTCTGTTGTAGACAAGCTGATTGCTTGCATCTTTTGAGCTTGTACAGCAGTCAGTAAGAAAATCAGTCTTCAGTGTGTCAGCACGCGTGTTGGTTGCTTGCTGAAGTTTAACCAATGACTCCAGTATTTTAGGGATATTTTGGAATACTGGACATTTGGATGCTGTCCCATGGCTTCCTTTCCTTCTGAAAAGCTTATAAACAAGCATATATTCCTTAATAATATTTGGGTTTCTAACTGATCTCTAGTAACAATGTTGTGATAAATGTTCAGTCTGACTTCAGCGTAAATTAAATGTTAGTAACTTCAACAGCAGTCAGTCATTCTGCTCCCACTCTCAGCTGTT